CACACACACACACACACACACACACACACACATTAGTTTATTTCATGATGTGTGTGAATCCGAGCGGCTGAGCTGAAAGCTTCCCACCGAGCAGGCTGCATGCCAGCACCGGCCCGGCTTCATAAAATCCACATCTCCACCTGATTCCAGCCACAGATAAGCAAATGAAGCTTTTTGATCTGCTGGGGATGGAAGTGAATTTCAAACATCTTCCTCAGACCAACACATAACAAAAGCGGGTTAAGGGTGGGGGGGAACCAGAAAGTCGGAGTTTATTTTGCGTAAAATGCGCTCAGTCTGCACTTGGGACATTTTTGAAATGTGGATTTGCTTTAAAAAAGTCATTTTTTTATGTTTAAACACATGAAGCCAAGACTATAATTGCGAGAATGTTTGTAAAAATATAAATAGGCTAATGACCTTATTGTATTAAAAAGTAGATTAGTTAAGGAATTACCCAAGTTTGATGTATTAGCTGTGAAAAAAGGCCCTCTTTCCGGTCACATAACTCTGGGAGAGGAAGGCAGGATGGCGCATATCAAAGTGAGGAGGTGTTGAAAGCAGAGGCCGCTGCCTGGGTATGACGGAGAGCAACAAACAGAAGCTCACATCTCCAGGAATAATGCCATTAACATCACAAGTGGGCATGGCGCCGATTCCTCTCACCTTTTTTTCATTATTTTCTTATTAGAAGAGCTTCAGCTCCTCTGTCAGGCATTAGCTATAGAAAATATAGAAGCAGCTCAAAGATAATTGTGATTATTTTTACGTAATTCATCTAATTTTATTTCATTTTACAACCACAAATTTTATTTGAAGTTGTTAAATTCGGATGTATCTCATGTCCCATAACCACTGATTTGTTTTTAATCTATCTTGTATTAATTTTTCATTCAACTAAATCAAATTATTTACATTTTTTTTAAAAAAGAAGCACTCGTTTGCGTAAAATCCAAACTCCTCGGCTCCAAGCGTCCTTCGCCCTTAAACGGATCAAAAAGTCCGGCAGATGAAGCTCTCACCTGTGGAAGAGGACTGCGCGGTTTTACTCATCCACTGATAGGAGCTGCGCCTCTCCCTGTCAGGGGAAAGCTGTGCAACAGAAACGTTATCCGGCGGCGGCTGCAGCACCGAAGACCCGGGCGGGTGCATGTGGCTGTAGTCTGGGGAACAGTACGGAACAGGTCCAGGAGGCGAGTTGTTCATGGGGGGTGGAATGGCGTTAGGAGGTCCCAGGCTATACGCGCCCCAGTCCTCTCTTGGACCGGCGTATGCAGGGCCCCAACTGGTCCCGGACTGTGTGTGCGTTTCCATGTTTGGCACATGGTGGTATCCGGTAAATTCCGGGTACTGAGGCGTGGAAACGAAGTTCTGTGGAGGCAGATTGATGCTCGATCTTCTCACTGGTCCTTGGTGATACATTCCGCTTTCTTTGTCCAGTAGATATCCAACGTACATGTTTTGGAAACGATGTTATTTTTTATGTTATTTCAGCAGCAGAGCGTAAATGCAGCCAAGATTAAGGCGACATTATGACCCCTGAAACTGTCAAAAACAATCCCTGTGCAGTTTTTAGTCCAAACGGGTCCCCAAAGTGAAATAGTTCCAGTTTGTCTCCAGCCTCACATGATGTGTTTCAGTTGAGAGGAAGCTAAAGGTTTACTGAGGCCTGCCTGACCTCAGCAGACTCCTCAGCTCTCGTCGATTTGCGCCCAAAAGAGAGTGACCAGTGCTGCGGGCCCAGCTGTCCCTTGCGCCTGTCCCGGAGCAGCGTCATCATCTGACAGTGGGCCTATCCCGAGCACGAGCTCTCCTCTCCATGAATAAATTATCACCACGACCTATCAGCTTTACAAAGCAGCAATAAACTGAGGCTGCACGTCCCCAGGCGCACACAGGAGGCCTGTGCGTCTTTACGCACGGAATCACTTTTTATCACCAAGCTCTCGTTTCATGAAAAAAAAAAAATAAATCACTGTCTAGAAATAATGTTACAGTTTTTATTGCAGTTTATTAATGAAGTGTGATTGTTTTTATCAGTTAAAAATCGCATCCCATTTACATTTTTTAAAAAATTCCTTAAATGTTTAAAATTCTCTTATTTTGAAGCGCTTTTACTGTGGGAACCCAGCGGGTTGTGACCACGCTTCACACGTAAACCCGGACTTATTTGTTAAGATATTCACTTGTAAACGAGGTGCAAAGTACGGGAGACTTTTTTTTTTACTCTCTCTCCTCCTTTCGGATTCCGTTCACACCTCAAGGTCGCACTTCACAGCTAATTCCGGATACAAGGAAACCCCTGCAGCCCCCCTTCTGAAACAAACAGAGGCCTGCGACACTCCTATCCTCTGAAACTACAATAAATCGGTTTCTCTGTGGCTTCACCAAGGCCTGGTGTGCAGCTGTACTTCACGTTTCTGCGCGTCAGATGATAGATTTGACAGAAAACTTCAGTACAGTGACAATAAACGAGGCGATAATTAGTTTCAGGCACGCGAAGCATCAGTTTATTGACCACAAAATATTTACGAGACAGTTAAACTCTAGTGAGCTGACTGAAAACAAATATCTAAAACAGAAGCACTTAATCCAGCCTAACACTTATCAGAGTTTTTCCACATAACTTGTGTTCCATTTACATTTTTATAGAATCAACGTTTTTTTATTTAAAGTACAATTAATTAAATGAACAAAAATACCATCAGAATCATGCCAGGTGCCAAATGAGCATTAAAAAAAAAAAAAAAAAAAAAA